AAACCGAAAGGGACCATTTGAATACCAGAATAAACCGGAAATTTCGAAAAAATAGATTGAAACTAAACCGGGATTGTTAGGAAATTGTTGTTCACAGGGGAGAAGAAAGCGGAGACGTGTAAAGCAAAAAGAACATCGAAGGTTTCGTGGGGAAGAAGATGAAGTCTCTAGTGGCTCATTTCTCTTCGCCTTTAATCACTGCTGGATTCTTCCATACATGTCTCCTTCATCGAGCATCGGTCTCCTCCGTCGCTTTCCCCACCGTTCGCCGCCGATATTCATCTCTCACCATGGCTTCATCAGCTCAGTCTTCTTCTCAGGTATCTTTCCGGTGAATTCTCGGTTTAGTGATTTGATATTGAGATTTAGTGGATGGGTTTTTGGTGGCTCGTTGATTTGTGTTCTCATTTTCGATGAATTGCGTTTTTTTTATCCTTCTTCTGTCATTAGGGAAAGAATTCTTTGTAATCTCGAATTTCAGGTTACAGTTTTGATTCAAGATCTCATTTTTTGTTGATTATTTCATGTATTTGGTGGTAATCATTGTGGGTTTTGAGATCAATAGTTGAAAACTTCTAACTTTGTGTCATACACTTTTGTCAATCAGGCTGTGTCACCGGGAAGTGTCAACAGTGAGACAGATGTTTTTAAATTGATTCAAGCTCACGAGGTAACGATATGATAATTTGATAAGAATTCATGTTGTCAAGGCGATGTTGTGAAGAGAGTTAACTGGGGTTTTGTAAGATTGAAAATGATGTGGTCGACTAATTTCCAGGGTAAGGCTGCTCGTCTTTCTCCAGTTGAGGAAATCAGAACTGTGGTTAACGGTAGTGTTCGTGGTATGCTTTCCACTTTTTCTCAGGTGAGAGCAATTACAGTAGTTTCTTTTTTCTCTCTATGAACATGGTTTTTCAGAGAGGAAATAAAGAGTGTGTGTATGTATGTACTGAGATACTTGGATTCTGTTGCAGAAGTATGAAGGTTATCCATCAGGGTCAATGGTTGATTTTGCATGTGATGCTGATGGTTCTCCGATTTTGGCAGTTAGTAGCTTGGCAGTTCATACAAAGGTTTGTTGCTTATTTAAACAGATCATATAGTTCATCTCTGTTTTGCTTCAATTTTACGTTGTTTTAGCGATAGTTTTATTAAACTGAGAATGTGTGGATTCGTAAACTGATGCTGCAAGCAAAGAAGAAGAACCATTGTCAACTTTTACAGATTTAGATGTCTTGGATTTATTATTAATCTGGAGAATTTCTGCCGTTTGCAGGATCTGTTAGCTAATCCAAAATGCTCGGTACTGATTGCTAGAGACCCAGAGGATAGAACCGGTTTGAGGATCACCCTACATGGTGATGCAGTGTTGGTATGTATTCCGCTGTGCTACTTTATATTTGCATTTAAACACAATGCTTGAATGTTTTTGCATGTATCATTTAGGTTTCTGAAAAAGATCAAGCGGCTGTTCGAACTGCTTACTTAGCCAAGCATCCCAATGCTTTCTGGGTAAACATCCTTTCTTGTAATCAGTAGAAAGTGAAAAGTTTCATGACGTCAATATACTATGACATCTCGAGAAGTCAAACTAAACCTTTTGTTTTTGATACTCTTAAAGGTTGATTTTGGAGACTTCAGCTTTATGCGAATTGAACCGAAAATGGTCAGATATGTTTCAGGGGTTGCAACTGCTTTTCTTGGATCTGGAGGTTTCTTTTTCTGCTTCATCTCCTTATTAATATCATATCTTATGCAATCCAGTTTATGTGTTTCCGCTAACTTTTAACCTTCGCTCTGAAATCTTCATTTCCAGAATTTACCAAAGAAAAGTACCAATCAGCCGAAGTCGATCCTATAGCTCAGTTTGCAAAACCTGTAACGGTATGACAATCATATTCGTCTGCAATTTCTCATCAACATATAGCAGTAGATGTGCAATAACTTCTGCCTTTCATTTCGGCAGTCACACATGAATAAAGACCATGAAGAGGATACAATAGCCATTGTACACCATACAACATCCATACCTGTAAGTTATACTATTCAAGTCATATGTCTTAATCTTGCTCAACATAAACCATTGGCAAAGGGCATTGAATTCCAGAGATCCGGTTAAGCTTAGACTGTTTGTCTTGGACGCGCAATCATACTACAGCGATATATTCACATACATCACAATTAAACTGTAGAATGAGTAAACCTCCTTAAATGTCAGGTGGAGAGCGCCTTGATGCTGGATTTGGACAGCCTTGGTTTCAACGTTAAGGTGTTTTTTCTAAACCTCAAAGTCCTTTTTTCTCACCCTTTATCTTTCAGCTCATAATACATATGTTCTCTTCCTCGTTACAGGCTACTCTGCAAGGGAACACCTTCAAGCTCCGAGTTCCGTTCCCAAGACGCGCAGAAGATAGAAAGTAAGACATTCTGTTATTTCCCGGTTTCTGTCTAGAGTTAAAACTACTGTTTCTCTTTAGTCTTTACTATCAGAGTGTTCGAAAACTGATTAACTCTGTAATGGTGGTGGTCTTTCCAGGGATGTAAAGACATTGATAGTGGAAATGCTTCAAGCTGCCAAGTCTGTTTCCAATTAGTCTGCTAAAATAAAGATGAAAAAGTTCTATGCCTTCTGAAATTCCTGCCACAAAAAAAAAAAAAATTCCTGCAACTGATACCATTATCAGTTGCAGAAGAACACTCTTGTATTCCTGTATATATCTTAACAAGACTATAACTGAACTCTATACATGAAAAAGTTTTAAATGAAGATTTGTGAAGATGTATTGACACTCATCACTATATAAATTATAAGCAGTTCGAACAAAAAAAAAAACTCTATACACACTTATTCCATTTACTATGCTTGTGATTTCATGAAAAAAAACCAAAGAAGAAGCCAATTTGTAGTTTAGTAGAACTTGATTTTTTATATTTTTTTAATCTTTTTATGGTCAAAACCAGTGATCGAATCTCATTTGAGACACATTTGGATAAAGTACAACCTCAGATTTGTCAGAAAATTATTGGTTACATACATTGAGCCCGTGATAAGTATGACAACTAAGGACCACAATACATATTATTTAAGACAATAGATTTAAGTTACAAGTTATACAACAAGCACATCACAAGAAATGATATTTCCTTGATTTCAAAATGCTCAACCGAGTAATTTCATCTAAAATACTAATTTTTGTTTGTTTAAGATTTTGCTTAAATAAACCCACGAAAGTTAGCTTAAATCAATACGCAAACACATTTCTAGAAGTCTTTCAAACTTGTCAATCTGAATCAGTCTCCATATTCCCCATGCCTTTTAGCCCTCTTGCTCTCCTCTGCA